AATACACGAAGTTGATCCCCAGTAGGAAAGGTTGTTTTTCTGCTTCGACGGTTCAATGGTTTATTCATGATGAGAATGGTTTGTTTCATGTTGTAGGACAGTAAATATCGCTTTCATGTTACTGACCATTTCATGTGTATTTTATCTTCGATAAATGTATTTATAAAGGGGACATATTGTACTGATTATTCCAAGCATTATTAATCTTACAAATCAATATGTTCTTAAAATTAAAAATACTGTTTCTATAAGCTTTTAAACATTGAAAAGATTGGATATTTCATTTATCCCGAAACTTATTTATTTTCCTTACCAAACCATTGTCTTACATAATTTTTTTTTTTTTTACATATAATATAAGTTACTTACTAACTTTATTGTAAATAAAAGTATATCTTTCATTCATAGTATTTTATTAATTCTTATATAACTAATACTTGTCCGAAATATATAAAGTATAACAAAACAAACAAAGTTTGTAAGAAAGCAATGGCAATTTTCATATGATACGTAAACGATTACGATTTTTCAAAATCTTTTTCTATAATAGTAAAATCTAGTAAGAAATGAAATTAAACGTAAAAAAGGTTTTGCCACAATTTACATTTTAAACGCATTTACCAATTTTTAACTGCCATGTTGGATTAAAAGTCACAGATAGAAAAAAATTCGTACAAATAATGACCAAAATGCTTATTATGAAATTTTACATAAGAAACTACAATACATTAATTTAATTTACAATCATTTAATTTATATATTGATATAGTATTGAGGTGTAAATATGCATATGTAAATTCATGGACAAGCGATGAATTTAATTTTAGCTTGTGTGGTTGATAGTAACTATTTGGCGGTGTGTTGTTAGATAGCAATTGAATAACCTAATAACACGATTTTCACCCACCGTCAGGAGTAATTAGTATTCTGTCATTAAAATCTCACAATGAGTGAGTGAGTGAGTGAGTGAGTGGGGGGGGGTAACATCGACGTTGCTATATTTCGGTGTAAAAAAAAAAAAAAACAAAAAACACAATCGGAAATCGGCGACATCGAGGCAAGCACTCGGATGCTGTAGTATCGACACTCTCTCCTTCCCTCTCAATTCTTTCAACTCGCTGGTAACTACTCTACTTGACAAATTATTGCGCTCTTGTGGACTCTCGTATCGTCTCTTTTTTCCCAGCGCTGTGCACTTCTGCTCTTTTCATTGTCAACCATTTAAATATTATTCTTTTGTTCTTATGAATACTTATCACACGAAGAGAACGTACGAACCACTTGCGTGATTTAATATTGAAAAAGGTGAGAAAATTCTAAATACCATGTAAACCATTGCATTATTCGTCGTTTAATTTATTATTCATTTTTTTGAAAATTTATAAAAAAAAAATAGTCAATTTTATTGTAGCATAATGTATTAATATTAATGCTTTGGATATTTATAAAACATTGATAATTTTTTTTTATAATTTATGCTATTAGTTTTTAATAATACGTAATTAAATTTAGTATTTTTCCAAGTTAAGTTTATAAAATTCTATCTTATTTTTCATACGCTGTGGTTTCGATTATTATGAATTTAAATGTGAAAAATGAAATATGAAAATCAAATATTTCAATTCATCATTAATCATATGTATAGTAGTATAATAATCTGTTGCGATTACGAATAAAATCTATAATTACCTAAAGTTGAAAAAACATAGTATTACTAATATAAATAGTTTTTTTTTCAAATTTTCTTCGAATCTTAAGTTCTGTATGAATAATCATTATTATTGTACAGCATTATAAAAATTAAAATCAGAATAAACGTCGCCATATTTTTTAATCATTCATTCCAACATGAACAATGTATAGGAACGAATAGTGGATTTAATTTTTATATTAAAAAATCATGTATTCTTATAAATTTTTTATTATTTAGAAAAATTAATAAATAAATAATTTCAAGTTTCATTTACATCATATATCTTATCCTTAATAATCTATTAGCTAATTAAAAATTTATGGCAAAGTTAAATACGGAAACGGGCCGGCTTTTAAATATATATAGAAATATTTTTTTCTTAATTTAAAGCTTTCGAGATAGTATGGAAAATTTTTTAACAAAATACAAAAACAATTTTCACCAACTTATTCATGATTTTGTGATCTAAATAAAAATAGAATATTTGGTTACATTATGTTCTATCGTGTCAATTCGTTTCGTCTCAATGTATTGAAATTTGCCAATGATACAATATTATTTAAAAGTAGTAACATGATTATAATGATTTTTTTTTTTTTTTTTTTTTTTTTTTTTTTTTTTGTATGTCATTATAGAATTTTTTGTTTAATCTGTTCTGTTAATGTAGATATATAAAAAAAGTTTTATTATTTATAATTATTTTAATTTAATTTATTGAGTTAATTATATTTAATTTTAATAAGAAAAGTATTAGTTTGATTTACGTGTAACTTTAATTAACTAATGCAGAAAGAGCAAAGTGAAACATATCGCTGTAACATAATAAAAATATATAAAACAATGATTTAAGAAATTTATAATATTTTCGTAATATACGACCCTATTGTTCAAAAATCTCGAGATGCAACATTGATTTTATTAAAATACTGAAAATATATAACATTATTAGTATATAAAACCTGAAGCATCAATTTTCTTATAAAATATGGTACGTAATAATTAAAGTAAATTACTATTACAATACCTGAAAAGGGTCATTTTCACCTAAGTGACAGTAATGGAAAGGAAAAAGAAATCTATTTACGAATTTATGAAGTTATTTCTCCATTATTTATAACTATAAAATATTGTAATATTTCCTTATTAAATTTTATTATTATGTAAAAAGCATAATTCGATTTTCGTAGTATATACTTTGATAATATATGGCGCTACAAAATTGATTCTCTAGTCAAGAGGAATAGGAATGTAAGAAAGATTTTAATATTAGAATTAAAAAATTGTCAGTTATCGTTTGGTTAAATATGTTAAAATATTATTGAAGTCACTATAAATTTATTTTAATGACATTATAGTCAGTAGAGTGTAGAGTAGGAAATAACATATCAGAATCGTTCAAGATCCTCGATAGATTAAAACAGAACGACGCCATATCACATCTCTTATTCAATTTAGTTTTAAAATACGTTATCAGATTCATACAGGAGTAAAGTACGGGTAATTTAAATGATTTAAGTAAAGTATTATCGTTTAAAAAATGGTATAATTTTAGTAGTTGATAAAGAAGTCATACCTAACTAAAATGCATAACTCTTATTTAAGCAGAAAGAAGAGATATTATTAGAGCTAAGCTAATGGCAAATTAAATCAATGATTACCGATAAGAGAAATTATTAGCCGAAGACAGTAATAAATTAAACGTAGAAGACTAAAACTTATTCACAATACTTGATATCAGAGCGGAGCAGAAGTGTATTTCTTTGCTAACGATGACTACATTCGTAAATCCGATGTTTATTTATATAAGAAATGCATCTAAAATAATTAGTTATGGAAAGCGTTATTTAAGAATTTTAATGAAATTTTAATGTATTTAATTATCGACACGATTGTCAATGATCTTAATTAAATCAATAATTTTCATATGGAAGAAAATGTTGTTGAAAGTATGTAATTCATGAATTTAGATAGATTAATAAAATTAATAGAAATTACTGTATAGAAAGTTCGTCCGTATGAATTATTATTTGACGAAAAAGTAATGCGCACGAGTAATTAAAATACTATATATTTGATAAAAATTACAAAGCTTTATTGTTAATTTCAATGTTAATTACCAAAATTAGTAATTATAAGTATACGGAGTAATTATAAGTACGGATATTAATAATAATTTTAAAACACATGTTTTTTGTATCTATTTATTCGAAAAATTGTCCTTACTATTTTGTACTTACAATATTCATAAGCTACATTTATCTTTAAATAAAAATATTTATGAAAATTTTAGGACCCTTTTGAATCAAAATTAGTTAAGATTTTATTTTCATACATTTGTCTACCCTATATCGTTAATAATGACATTTAAAATACAAATCTGTGTTAATAGGGAAATATAATATATTATAGTTATAGTAAAAATTACGGGTCGCACAGATTTCATCATTGAAAGCTACATCAATAGTCAAAGTGGTAGTTAATTACGAGGGGCGGGCGGGGGGGGCGGCAGAGCTGTTGAGATCCTTATGTAAATTGTAAAGATATCATATGAAAATTGTAAAAGAACACGCATAGCCTGTGTAACAATAAGGTTGAGTAAAGTTACATAGTCTCAAAAATGTTAAAAGGGTGTACGAAAGAAGTTTTTCTCATAACTATAATTCGACTATAATAGAAATTAATAAACATTTTTTATTATAAATTTAGCTTTTGAATGCAATATTAGAGATATGTATTTTCTTCCTTTTTTGCATAATGGCTTTGTAAAATCTGTTCCTAAGCTACTTTATTATTATTGTATTAAAGGATTAAATTACACTTAACCAACTAAACTACAAATTATTACTCATAACAAGAACATATTAATTTACACTGGTAATTAAAGGTATGTATTTTTTAGTTGCTATTTTTCAGCCGAGAATTGTTTGCTTAAGAAAAACAAAATCACGCAAGTTTATGTGGCTGCCGTAGACAGGAAGCACGATACCTTCGAGATAACGTCCGCTTAAAGTCCTGAATAACCAACACACCGGCTTTTCCATATCCACTCAAATTCATAATTGCGACAACAACACAATGTATTTGTGATCATCGCGTCTCTATTCGCGGGACTTTATCCTTCTCGCTTACAAACCAACAACGGCCGAATGACATTTAATAAATCTGGGCCGAGACTGAGGCGCATTAAAGCGCAAAAGCCGATAATGCGTCTGTCTAAGCCAAGAGCGAACGATCGTTAAGCGCAGGGAGGCGTTTCGTCGGTGTAACAGCGCCACTGAAAATAACGAAATGGTGCGTTCGCACTCACCGGTGATGGAGGCCGTGGGCGAGATGGCGGATGGATTGGCGCGTGGCGGGGGGGAGAATGCGCCGGCCAAGTATCCGCCCCGGTCGGCCAAGGCCTGCTTGGCCTTCTCGACGCTCTGCTTGAGCTGCTGGAAGGTGCTGCCGCAGGTGAGACCTCGGTAGCTCCAGTTCTCCTGCTTGATGCCACCGCCCGCGGCAACGATTCCACCGCCCACGCCGCCTCCGCCCGTAGACGCGGAGCCGCCGCCGGCGATGCCACCCCCGCCGCCCGCCGAGACGCCGCCAGCAGTCGGTCCTTTTAGATCGAGCGCACCTGCGTACGAACAGCTAGTGCTGTCGTACATCACCAAAGTGCCCCTGCAAGAGTGAGAAAAGAGGGTAAGTTGACGGAGGTCCGTTGTGCCTTGGCGACTTATGGCTAAACAAAAATGTTCGTCTTCTGTTCAGTCGTGCCTAAGGGAATTCTCTTCCATTTCCAATCTCAAGGAGAATAGAGATAGAGCCATTGCAACATTCAGAATTTTTTTTTCTAAATTATCGAATATTTTACTCGGAGGTAATAATAAAGGCTGATAAGAAGGAGGCTTCTTGATTAACATAATTTATCATTTTAATTGCGCGTACATTACTTTAGAGTAATTACGTTGATATTTATGATACCTTTGAGGTGATTATTATGCCGTAAAGCGTGAATTTAAGTAAGTAATTGTTAGTGACTTTATCAATATTTAAACAAATTCTCGTCACTGAGTGGCTCAAATTACGAGGACAATGAACTTATAGTAAATTACTGAAGCGTAAATTATTAGTCCCAAATCTACGGTTGCAACTGCTTGAAAAAATGCAAGTAAATGTATGATGATCTTTAATATCTTGTACGTTAATAGCATTAGTCTCTAATAAAAATAGATCACATTGAAGATTGAGATATATGAGAGTCTTGCATTTCTTTCATTATACTGTCGAGAAAATATCTTTTTTATTTTTCAGCAGTAAATTTTAAGGGTAAAAAATACAAAATAATTTGCTTGACTAGAATTAGATTAATTTCAATCATAATTTTTATATAACACTACGTCTACTCTCGTTATGGCGCGGAATAAGCAAGGAGTACATTGCTGTATTTTAACAAAATAAAACAACAGTTGTATACAGTAATATCCTTGTCAATCATCTTAAAACCCTTATAGACATAAATGCCGAAGAATTAGAGTTGAAAATAATTGATACTTCAAACTAAAAAAGCGCAGCAGTAAGTAAGCAGTGGTATGGGAATAAAATGAAATATATGTGAAACGAATTCGTTTTAACGAGGCCCGGAGCACTTATTTAAATAGTAAACTCAGGATTTAACGTCTATTAACGTATTCAATTAAATGTTGAGAAGAAAATGAGTAGTAATTCTTGAAGGCTCCACAACTGTCGACACATTCAAATATCCATGTTATACATATTATTTTATATGCATGAGCTAACGGCTCATTCATTTTCAACGTTTACGTTTATAGATCGCGCTCACATGCATTTGAGGACATGTAATTGTATCATTAGAGTTTAGAAGCCACCCGAGTATGAAATAGCCTCGTTCACAAAGAAATTTATCTAATACGGCTGATATTGCACTGTGCCCACATTCTCAAAACTTTGAAACACAGTATTGAAAATTATACAGCGTGCATTCGCGGAGCATTTTAATACTTATTTAAATAATATTGTGTATAATTAATTTATTTATAAATGTTTATGACTACTCAAATCCATTTAAATGATAAAATCAACGAATCTTGTATGCTAATGCAGAGAAGATTAATCGTTTTTGAAAATTCTTCATACTCAATAAATTAATTCAAGAATTAAGTGCAATGTTATTTTATTAATATAAAAAGGAAAAATTGAATGTTTCACGTTATTCAAAATTTTAATAAAAATATACAAATGTCTCTTGAATTAAACTATGATATTTTAATGTTAATATTCATATATTTTTTTGTCAAAAATTGATATAATTATTCATTGATATACAATAAATTATATTCTTTAATATTCATTTATCGATGCTTTTATTACTAAGTCTCATTTACATTCAATATCATTTATATAAAAAATTTCATTTAATTGATAAAATAATGTTAATTATATGACAGTCAAAATTTATTATACACACACACACACACACACACACACACACACACACACATATATATATATGTGATATGATGATATATATATATATATATATAATAATAATAATAATAATAATAATAATAATAATAATAATAAGAGCGTGTATTCAAATTTGCGCCAGAAAAATGTTTAATTAATGATAATTATATTATTCTGTGATTTACATTGTACTTCAGTTAATTGTTCAATTACAAATCCAAATAATATTATTTTAGCAAGCTCCAAGCTCAATATAATTATTACTAATTAAGTAATCGCTTTGATGTACTCTGTTCTGCATAATACATCATAGTAGAATTCGCAATCATTTGGAATCATTCTTATTCCCTGTCCATGCTTCAGAGGATAACAAACAACAACGTCATCTAATCATTTGTCTTAATCATATTATTTACGAGCAGTTAACTCATTTATAAGCTACTTCAAAAGCTAAATTTTTACAATTATTTATGTTTGGTCAACAAACGAATGACAAAATGTACGTAGGGGCTATTGTAATGATCGATATATTCTCCTTCTAGAAAAAATTTATCCATCTGAATTTATTGTTTGTTTTATCGCTGTAAGTACACTGTAAATATATTGCGTGGAAATATGTCTAATAACGGTTATTACGATGAAATTAATTAACAAATCTAAGTATTTATAAAATAATAATTTATAAAATTTATTGGAACGAGTTGCAAAAAATATTCATTCCTTAAATTTATTTATCGTATTTAACGTATTTATCGTATAAACAATAATATTTTATTGATTACTTATCGCTAAATTAAATTTTCGGTCACTAAACAGAAAGTTTGAAAACAAAAATTATCTATTTTAATTCATATTAAATTGAACAATTACATGACACAATTTGTCTATGCATTTTTAATGTGGGGCTATAAGATGATAATATAATTATTATTTGATTATGAATAAACAATGACTTACTTCATTATATTGACAAATAGATTATTAATCATAATCATTTTAAAAGTAAATTAAAAAAAAATATATTCAAATATATAATTCGAAAATTTTATCCGAATGAAATTTATTATATCTTTGGAATTAGAATAAAATTATAAATAATTTAGAAGTCTAGCATTTGTTTTTAATTAATATTAAATACAATTTTTATAAGAACTCTAGTTTTATCGTATTTTTTATTCATTACGTAGTCCCGATTATAGGTTTGATTCTTTAAATGGAGTGGTGGTTATGTCACGAATATTAAGAAAAAAATATAATTAAACGCTTTAAAACAGCACTCGTATTTCCATATCCGTTGTAGTCGTTATTTGTAATTCGCTCAGAATAAGGCTGTTTATAAGGAATTTTTATATCTTTATATCACTTTGTTGAAATAATGCAAAATTGTCAGTGTTTAAATAATATATATATATATATATATATATATATATATATATATATATATATATAAAGAAAAAGAAAGAAATAAATGATTAAAAAAAGAAGAAAAAATTGTGTAAAAAATTGAAAATATTATATTATTTTGATTTTAAATAATGCGTTTACACTATTTGACGCAAATAAACGAAAAAAAATATTTTTTTTTTAACCATTTAACCATTTTATTTTTACCATATTTTAACCATTAAAACCATTGATATTATAGTATGACGATAAGCCAATATCCAACGCACAAAAATATCAAGGACGTCAGTTTTTCCTATTGTTTTTTAAATTATTAAACAATCGTGGTAAAATAATAATCGCTCCAAATAAATATCGATTATTCGGCTCGAATTTCTAATGGTCATTTAACCAAGTATCTTTCATTCTTCTATGGCAATTTAATTTTGAACTTTCATCATATCGAGCTACCATATTAATCATCTTCATTTTCTCGTTAAAAATTATGCTATTCGAATGTTAATATGTGAGTTATTTTTAAATCGTCGTGACATATACTTCTTTAAGATGATATTGATTATTCATAAAATGACTTGCTAAATCTCTAAACGCAACTTTTGCATAAAAAAAATTTCCTTTCAAAGCATTAGAGACAATTAAAAATAAAGATTTACAACTTTGGCCCTCGATTCTGGCGGCTCTAAAAATTCCGACCATACACTTCAATTATCCATCAGCAACCAAAATAATCTAAGCACATCATATCGTAACGTCTTATCACGCAGAATGCCGCGCAAGTTACGCAATGGAAAAGCTCGTCGACGATTCCACTGAAATTTCACTGCGAGCGAACACAATATGAACTCGCACATACGTAAGGAAATTGCACTCCCCAACTTGCACCATACCAGCTCGACTTTCACGTACTCGACACACGCGCAGGACAAATGAGCTTTGCTGAGCTCATGGAACAACGCACCCAGGAGGACAGTTTCCAGCTCGTCAACCTACGGCCGAGCATCATAACACTCTCCTTACAAATCCTAGATTATTAAAATCAATAGAGTAATGCAGCAGGCCGTGAGGTGTCGTGCACCCCCGAGGTGCAGTAAATTCCCTACAATAACAGTGGCCGTTCCGGTCGCGCGCATCGCCGTAATCAGCGCGTCAACGTCATTGCGCAACTCGTTTCGTAAAGGCTCGGCTTTTGGCCCGGCGGTACGTCGTACCTGCGACCGTGCAGAAGCTGATGGCGAGCCTCGTACCGCGGTTAGGTTGCAACTGAGGACAAGGCTGCTGCTAGAACTACTGATGCTGTTGTTGCTGCTGCTACTGCTGCTGCTGCTGCTGCTGCCGTGGACGCCGCCGACGCAATCGACAATTGCCTACTTCCGGGCCTCATTACATCACTCTCTTACTCTGTTAACGCTCGCCGGAAATGGTTCGCTGCCACCGCTGTTGCCGCCGTCGCCGCCGTAGCTGCCTCCTCGTCTCGCCCGCATAACGGCTCCCCACGCGTCGCGCTATTTCAATGCGAGAGACGATGCACGTGGTGGGATTTTTCGGTGGATCGAGGTGAACGGCTTTCTTCTTCTTTTTTTCTTTTTATTGAGGTGCGAAGGTCCGTATTCGCGAGGAGCATATGTGTCGCGAGAATCTACGCCTTTGTTTAGAACGGCTACACGTTTGGGCTATTACGCAAGTTGGTCTGTGTTGCGTATGCAACGAAGATAATGGAGTGTAATTATCGTTAAGAATGTTTGAAGAGATGCAAGGAAATTAAAAAGTATCATACCGTAGAATGCATCGTGTTGTAATTAGAACATTATAAGGTACAAATGATGTCGTCAGAGCATAATAATATATATTGGACAGACATTAGCGACACTTTTTTTTATATAGAAATAGCACTTTCATAAAATTTGTATTTCTTTTGAACTTGGATAGGAAAAATTATTTA